GGGGCTCGTGCTCCCAGTCACCTGGCGCTGAACCCTTCGGGGCTCGTGCCAGGTGCGAGCAGCGCTGAACCCTGCGGGGCTCGTGCTACTCCAAGTGGGAGCGCTGAACCCTTCGGGGCTCGTGCTCCCAGTCACCTGGCGCTGAACCCTTCGGGGCTCGTGCCAGGTGCGAGTAGCGCTGAACCCTTCGGGGCTCGTGCTACTCCAAGTGGGAGCGCTGAACCCTTCGGGGCTCGTGCTCCCAGTCACCTGGCGCTGAACCCTTCGGGGCTCGTGCCAGGTGCGAGCAGCGCTGAACCCTGCGGGGCTCGTGCTACTCCAAGTGGGAGCGCTGAACCCTTCGGGGCTCGTGCTCCCAGTCACCTGGCGCTGAACCCTTCGGGGCTCGTGCCAGGTGCGAGCAGCGCTGAACCCTTCGGGGCTCGTGCTACTCCAAGTGGGAGCGCTGAACCCTTCGGGGCTCGTGCTCCCAGTCACCTGGCGCTGAACCCTTCGGGGCTCGTGCCAGGTGCGAGCAGCGCTGAACCCTGCGGGGCTCGTGCTACTCCAAGTGGGAGCGCTGAACCCTTCGGGGCTCGTGCTCCCAGTCACCTGGCGCTGAACCCTTCGGGGCTCGTGCCAGGTGCGAGCAGCGCTGAACCCTTCGGGGCTCGTGCTACTCCAAGTGGGAGCGCTGAACCCTTCGGGGCTCGTGCTCCCAGTCACCTGGCGCTGAACCCTTCGGGGCTCGTGCCAGGTGCCAGCAGCGCTGAACCCTTCGGGGCTCGTGCTACTCCAAGTGGGAGCGCTGAACCCTTCGGGGCTCGTGCTCCCAGTCACCTGGCGCTGAACCCTTCGGGGCTCGTGCCAGGTGCCAGCAGCGCTGAACCCTGCGGGGCTCGTGCTACTGAGTCGTGTTGTACCGTCTTGATTATCATTCATACACTCATTGTGCCTTGTGAATAAGGGGCCACTAACGCCAATTTTTTTTTTAGGTCCCGGGGCCCGCCTTTGAAAATCTGAAGATTTTGCATTGAAGCGCTGCCAGGGCATTTCCAGCCACGAATTCCTGACGCGTTTCGTATGTTTTGTCTCGTTGATTTTTGTTGCACGGTATTTGGGGTTCCGGAGCATTGTTTCTCACTCCCGGGAGCCCTCCGGTGCCCGACAAAAATGACGATGACGATGACGATGCTACGCCGAGGACGATGACGATACTACGCCGAGGACGATGAGGATGATGATGCGGATACTGATGCTGATGATGATGATGCCGATGCGGATTATGATGATGGTGATGATGATGAGGAGGAGGAATAGGGTGACGATGGTGATGCTGCCGATTATGCTGCTGATGATTCTGCTGATGATGCTGCTGATGATGAGGGAGGAGGAGGAAGAGGAGGAGGAGGAGGAGGATGAGGAGGAGGAGGAATGAGAAGTATGAGGAACGAGGAGCGAGGAGCGAGGAGACATCAGGAAATCGTTCTCGCACGCTTTCTCCGAGCATATCTCGTGGCGGATTCTGAAGTGCCGCTTTGTCTACCGCGCTTGTCATACAATGCATCTTTGAAACCCCGACTCCGACGTCACCCCCAGGGGCGCGAAGATAATCGCGCCTCGCGCCTCGAGGCCTGGGCTGGAGGGCTGGGCATAACAGAAACGAGAGCCAGTGAACACATTTATGTATGGTGTGGGTTGTTTTTTTTTTCTCGGGGTGAAGCCGTGCACGAAACCCTATACATGTCAAGCGGCTCTGGGATCTCTAATCCAGACTTGCCCGAGGCCAGAGCATAACTCGCCTCCTCGACTCGCAGCTTCCCAGCCCGCTGAGCTCGGATCTCGGCCGACGGAATACACAGGGGCCCAAGCTTAGGAGGTGGGGTTAAAGTCGAATTCGGATAGAGGCTTCTCCTGATCCTACTACGCTGGGTGCCTAACCCAGGATAGAAGAGGAGGAGGAGGAGGGAGAGGAGGAGGAGGAGGAGGAGGAGGAGGAGGAGGAGGAGGCGGAGGAGAATGAGGAGTAGCAGGAGGAGGGGACGGAGGATATTAAGGAGAGATTTTTGAGGCCTCCTGCGAGCCTCTTAGGGTCCGCACGGCGGCCGAAAGGCCACCGAAAGACTACCGAAATGCTACCGAAGGCTATTGGAGGGCTACGGAATGCTACCGAAGGCTACGGAGGGCGACCGAAAGGCTACGGAGGGTACCGGAACGCTACCGAAGAGCTACCAGAGAGTTACAGGCGAGCTGCCGCAAGATCGGCGAAGCAATCGAAAATCAAAAACTCTCCTTGTAAGGATGTAGTGTTGTGTGTTGCTTGGGTGTGTGGGGGTATTCTATGGAGATCGCCGCGATGCGTTGAGTTGTTAGCATTGTTAGTGGAAGCTGTAACGTTGAAGTGCATTTCTATTGCAAATGTGTAGGCCTCAAACCACTAGGGAAATTTTCTTCTGCGAAGGGGGAAACGCTTGCAAATTTTCAAAAACGGTGTTTTTTTCACACCGCCGTAGCACTACAACGTGCTACGTAGCACTACGCAGTGCTACGGTTAAGATACGTAGCATCACAAAGGCGCTGCTTGGAGCTACGGGAGCAGATGCTGCGTTATATGTGCATCACCCCCATGAGCACCCGCCCCCCCCCAACACAAGCATTACGAAGTGCTGCTACGACTAGTGCTATTACTACCACTAGCGAGCTGGCGAGCAGCCAACCAAGCGAATCCGTGTACGTAGAGAGACACGGTGCACAGCGATACCACGCCAGCAATGACGCCACGCAGGCAACCAACAAGCGGGGAACCTACACGGAGGAACAAGTACCACTCACAACAGCAAACAAAGCACGACTGACAGCAGAAAACACAAAGAGCGACCAAGCGCAGAAATGCACAGAGCAATTCGGAACGACTAAGAGCAGAAACGCAAAGTGCGAATTCTGGCCGCGCGCCCGTACAAACGCGGGGCATCCTGTTTTGGATGCCCCGTTTTGGAGGTCGGGGTGGCGGGAGGGAGTGGTCCCATGTGATTGATGAAACACAGCGGATGTCAATAACATCGATATTCCTTACCACTGTTTCGCACGTCGTTTATCGGCTCAAGCACCCCGTTCGATCGGGTTTTCATTGTGGCAATTTGCGCCCTTTCATATCCCTGCTCTTGCGAACCACAATGGCGTTCGAGTGGGCGTTCGTCACTGACGTCGGCCCTGGCGCTGCCTTGCCGCCTGACGCGGCGTGGCGCAAGCTCAGCGCCCGACAGAGCAACCGCGTGGCTGCTGGCCAGGACGGCGAGACGCATTCTGAAATGGAAAACAATGGCGCCAAAGGTTTGTTACAAACCTGATGCGCGGTACTTTAAGTCTTCTTCGTGCTTCGGAAAAGACAGACATCCGGCGAAGACTGCGCTGGTCGGCTGATCTTTTCTGCGGCGGCAGCAAGAAGACGGTGTGCATTTCAACAGCCGTTCGGAGAAAAAACATAAGGACCGCAACTACTGTTGCATCGGCGGCTGGCCCATCTTCAAGACGTTTCGCAAGGGTTTGGGCCAGTTCCACGCGCCAGGCTTCGCGGGCCCCCTGTGGCACCCAGCTGACCCCGACCTTGAGGACATCATTGTTCGCCCTTCCTTCGACGTTGAGGTGGAGGCCACGTGCGTCGACTTCAGCATTGCAGTGATGCTCTTATCGCCCGATCGCTGCATCCCTACATCCGCTTAATTCATCCTGATGTGATCAGATCATGAGATCAAGTCCTTATGTGTCTGCACGCGTGTTCAAGCGCGCATGTCTGAGTGCACGCACGAATGTTTTGTGCATGTGCATAAGTAAACTGCGCGCTTAGACCGTGCAGTTATCGCGTCGTCGGCACAATCGGGCATCGATCGCCCGGGCCCTTCTGATTGACTGTCCGATGACAAACTTGATAAGGCCCGCACTTGCGACGTAAGCTTCATCACCCATGACGGTGCCACGACCACTGTGACGGATATCAGTTGGAGCGCAACCTGGAAGTACGTGGAGAGCCGTGTCCAGGCGGGCCTCGGCTTGCCCCCGCATCGCCGCATTCTGTTTGAGGCGGCGGCCTCATAATCGCATCGATCAGATCTGGTGATCGCTGTCGCCGCGAACCGACGGTGAATCTCGGTCGGTCGCGCAGATAGGTGATCGCGGGCATTGCGGTCGTTTCGCCATCGCTCCAGCTTCGGCGGGGATCGCTCGCGGTGTCGGGCGTTAGTAAGCATCTGAGGTGGACGGAGATGAGCCGAGTGGCCGCATGAGGGTCGGCCCGAGTTTTGGATTTCGTTCGGTCCGCGGCCGCTTTGTATGAGGGCGCCGCCTCGGAGGTCGATCTGCCGCCCCCGAGTTCCAGCCGCCCGTCAGACTCGACGGCATAGCCAGGCCCGCGACAATTGTCTGGCAACCAGCTTGCAACCATCGGCCAATGGAATAAACCGAGTCCGTCACAATGGCAGTCGTTGTCGCCCCTTCCCGCCCTCTCACTCTCACTCACACTCTCACTCTCTCTCTCTCTCTCTCTCTCTCTCTCTCTCTCTCCTGTCTCTCCCTCTCTCTGTCTCTAAGTGATTTTGGCTCAGACCGCGCCCTCCGCAATCGCATCTACGCCAAACTCTGACTCTCGAGTCTGGTAGCGCCAAATGGCGCCAGTCCGCGCTTTCTCGCCATCGCGCGCACTCTCGCAGGATACTTCTCGGCTGATCGTGAAGAACACGTTCCTCGACGTGCCAGAGGACGCCGCCCGTCCCCCGCGGCGCAGCGCATCTGTTCCTGCGCGGGGCGGCAGGGATGCCGACGACCCGATGGCGGGCGGGCTTGCGCCCGGCCAGGCCTCGCCGCGCCCCGAGGAACGCACCCCCAGCGGTCGTGCTTATCCGATCTCCAGGGCCTCCCACTCGAGGCTGGTGAAAGAGTTGACGCACATCAACTCCATGCTCACTCCTGCGCGGGGCTACGCGCAGATGCCAGTTGGCAATTCTTCCTTCAAAACAAAAAGCGTCAACTCGCAGGTGCCGCCCCGCGCCGCGGTGGCCTGGCACGTGCCGGTTCATTCCACGGGGTCTGGCAGCGTCGCACCCAGAGCCCCCGCGGCGCAGGGGGGGGCGCCGCGCCGATCGCCAATCGGCCGTCAGAGGCGCACTGTGTCGAGGCACCAGGTATACGACAATCCTACTGACATCGAGAACCTCGACTCGATCGTAAAAGACTTCGCGAGGCCAGGCTTCTGCGAGCCCGCGCGCGCGCCCCCCTGGCGCCGCTCCGCTGTTCGCAGGTCCAAGACAGACCGCGGCTCGCACTCCGCGAGCGAGCGGCAGGCCGCCGTGCACGCGGCGGAGTCTACCCAGGAGCCGCCTCGCGAGCTCGAGGAGGAGGACTTCTGGTCAGTAACTGGAGGATCATTGGAAAATCACAGAACCCCCGTCGAGGAGCGCCCTCTTCCAGTGGTCCATCTGATGCCTGAGGAGCAGGCGTCTGGCTACGTGGTGGAGATCGCCGCGTCCGCGGACGATACCCGCCCAGATCTTAGCCAGTTGCTCGGTCTGTCGGTTCCGTTCCCGATCGCGATCTGTAGCAGATCGCGCGAATGCTATCTGAGGTCGAAATCGTTTCTGCTTGTGTAGAGACAACCGGTCGGATCTTATCCCGATGTACTGCCCGATGCGGTGACGATCGATTAAACCAGATCCCATTTTCGTCTGATCAAGGGGTGATCTATCAGTGCGGCGACCTGTGCCGCCGAGGTTCTGATGTCGGGTACTTGCCGCTGAACTCGCAGATGGTGCCGTTGTCTCCGGTCTTCATGCCTGCCTCGGACTTCGCGGCATGGTTATGTGCGCGCCTTTCGGGGGGAGAGGCGGTTCGAGCTCGAACCGATTGCGAGCCGTCTCTGACACGATGAGCGAACCGAAGCGAGTCCTGCAGTTGGCGCGGGGGAGGGGAAGTACTAGCGATGCGATTTCGATGCGTCGATCACCCATTAGGCACGATTGATGCGATTGTGTCGTTCTCGCCGAGGCACAATTCAGTTTCCTCGTCTGCCATTGGAGTACAGCTTGTCGCTCATGGGCAGGATGGATTCCGCCGTGCAGGCTTGGGTGGGCGTCGTTCAGTCGGGGCATCAGAGATTACCTGAATTTGAAGCGGGAGTGCTGTACATGCAAAGTCTCGCCAGGCTCGCGTGCGGCATTACCGCTGACAAATCCATGTTTATCTTCAACGGCATGTCCTATGCAGCCCAGCACCAGGGCAGGCGAGAATACTACAACACATCCTGCGTCGAGGCGCTCCAGGCGGCCGAGAGCGGCGTGCAGGTGTCGCGGAACGGCCCTGTGACGTTCCAGGACTGCAACGACTTGCTGTACCCGTTCGGCGCGCACCTCGTCCCTGTCCGCGAGGCGATGCTGGACGGGAACTACATCATGTCGTTCTACCAGCAGACCACGCACGTTCGCGTCCGCGACGACTGCGCCGAGTGGAACTGCGGCTGCGTCCAGGTGAAGCTGAGGCGAGATGTTGGGCTGCAGATTCTTTCGCACTCCTCAGTTGAGTCGAACTTCATAGCCTACGCGTACTTACTTCCGTCGCACATCTCTGAGGGCACATCAAGCTTCTTTCAGTATCTTGGTGACGGCGATGATTCATGCGGTGACCGCGACGAACCTCGTGCTTCCGTTCCTGCCTGCCCAGCGAACGCGGATGTTTCCGAATTTCATCTTGCAGTCTTGTACATGAGGCATCTCGCCACGCTCACGTTCAACATGTGTTTGGAGGATGCAGCTTTCGTATTCAACTCGACCGCCTATGCTGCCAGAGCTTCAGGGGATCGCATGTTTCGAGAGACGTGCTGCGCGGAGACGCTGCAGGCAGCCGGCTACGATGTTCAGATTGACAAGGACGGTCCCATGACTTTCAGGGATGCACACAACTTGCTTTCTCTTTTGGAGCACGCATTCTGCCTGTCCAAGAAGCAACGCTGAACGGGGACTACATTATGCATTTCCAATACCATTTCTCCCACGTCCAGGTGATGAGCACGTGTGCCGAATGGAACAGCGGTTGCGCGCAGGTGTACCTCACTCGGGATCAGGCTCTGAAGATGCTATCGCACTCATCTGTGTTGGCTGGCTTTATTCTCCCGAGCCTGCCATCGTTCCCAGCGTTGTCCGACATCTCGGAGAACGACGATGGAAGCTTGGATTCCCCGCTCGGAGGCGGCTACAGCTCGGGCAAGGGCGCGGGCGAGGCCTCCGCCTCGAGAGGGAGCAAGGGCGATGCCAATGTCAAAGAGGAGCTTCCCACCCAGGAGTATCGAGGGGCATCGGCATCCAACGCAGTCAAGGAAGAGCCCGCCGCTGACGGCCAGAATGGTTCTGATGTTGCAACTCAATTATGCAGGGGCGGAGGTGATCCGCCCCCCCCGAAGCGCTCCAAATACGACGGAATCCGGAACAGAGTCACATCCGCAGCAAGATTGGCGGACAGCCTGGGTAGCCTCCTTGCCGAGGACGGGGTCGGCGAGGCTGGCCAGGGACTGGAGCCCGTTGTGGAGGGCCCGCAGCTTCTGTCTCGAGCGCAAGGGCAATTGCTGGACGTTGCTTCGCTTCTTCCTACCGATGCCACTTGGGTGGCGAACGCAAGCGACGACCTGCCGGCCACGGTGGCCAAGCGTGTTGCTCGTGAAGATCTGCTGGCTGCACTTGCCATCATCAAAGAGTTGGTGGACGGTACCATTACGTCTGGCAAGATAACCCTCACCGACAAACTCTTTTTCGTTTTATTGAGATACGGTGAGGTGTATCGCAGCCACGATGGTGAATTGTATTTCTATGACCACTCCATCACGCCGAAAGGCTGGTGGGAGAACAGGAAAGATTCGATTGTCGACACGCGGCCGAGTTTGAACATGGCAGAGGGCATGTTGTATTTGATATGCCAAGACGTGCCAGAGGTCGGCGACGGGCGAAGGGGGGTCGGGGGAAAGGTGGCCGCGAAGATTTTTTTCGACGGGGTTCCGCTGGGGAAGCCATGCTCAGTAAATTGCACCCAACATTTCTTCGCGGCTACTTTTGTGCCCCGCCCCCTTTCGCTCGCCCCGGGAAAGGAGCTCGTCTGGTGCTGGGACCACGTGGGCCATGCGCTTCGACAAGCCATGTCGACGGCCTTCCACCACGGTACCTCTTTGGTAGAATTTCCAGGCGAATGCCGACAGCAGGCGAAGCTAAGCTGGGATCGGAATTTGAAGGTGACCAAAGGGAAAAAGTACATGGCCCATAGCTTAGCGAAGCTCGCCGAGATCTTGTCGAACCTTCCAGTCTATTACGAACAGGATTCAGCCAGAGGGGCGAAGTCGGACATCTGGAAGGCGTTCACTGCCAAGCTGAACACAGATAAGCCCCCGTCACAGGGATTCGTTTTCGACGACGGCTACAGGGATGCGAGCATGGCCCAGGCTGAACCTGATCCGCAGAATAACTGCTACTTCCGCGTGCCCTTCAAGTATGAGGAGGTCAACGTGGCGCTCGCTGATTGCCCCGTGGTCCGAGGGCGCCAGTATTCATTATCCGACGTGCGGGCGGTGGTTCATGATTACATAGATTCCTTTTTCTTTAAGAACGACGGGTACTTCGCCACCTCATGCGCTGCGACGTACTGCGCCTTCTTCGGCATCCACGTCCCCGTCATGATGGTGGCGATAGGTGAAGGTGGTTCGGACGCAACTCCTGGGGGGCAAATTCAGAACTCGCCCTGGTTCAACCAAAATCCGGCCCAAATCAATTCAATCCTGCTCAATCAGGCTTAATCCCGTTTAATCAGGCTTAATCGAAGGCCGAAACTAGCCTCGCGGCCTTTAGCCGAATTGCCCCTAATCCTTCCGACGAAGTCTCCCAGCAGTTGCATCTTAAAGGTGGCGATGGCAAGGGCGCTTTCGACATCCTGGAGTCGTCGCTCTTCGGCAAGCAAAACTCGGCGACGCTCGACCCGTCCATATTCGTTGACGACAACGAGTGGCGGAAGAGCGCTCACTTCGGCCTACACAAGAAGCGGGTTTGCATTAAGGAGTCCAAAACAGGGTCGTCTCACATGCGGATTAACGTGGACGTGCTCAAACGCTTCATTGCAGGCGAGGAGCTGACTGTGAGGGCCAACTTTGGATTCTCCAGCGAAGTCCGCTTCAACAGAATGAAGAAGCAGCAGAGCTGCAACTACGACGACGTGGCCCCCATCATGTCAGTTCCCCGAAGCGTTGCAGCGCTGGACCTGGAAGGGCACGGAGAGGAGGCAGCACCAAGGAAGTCCCCCGCGGAGTCTGTGGATCGTCGTTTTTGACGTCGGCTGTGGGCCTTGCGACACTGGTCACTGATGTCAAGGACGTGGACCATGAAAATGGCCGCTTTCTGAAAATCGCATCGGATGTTTTAGAGACTATATTGGCATGCCCCGCTGCAGCCCATGTTTATTTGAGAGAAATTCTACAACCAACTTGGGATGAACCCGGGGACTCGTCAGCCATTGTGGGAACGCTCGAACCAGAAAATCTCGATGACCACATGAAGGTGTCGACGCGTTGGTACATCCGCCGCCTGACCAACCAGCAGTGCGAGCCCAGGCCCAAGTGCGTCATGGACTCCTCATCGGGGGCCGGCAACGGGCGATCCGGCGGCAGCGACACCGACTGGGACACGCTTGCTGGCTGCCTGAAGACGCCCGCAGAGGCGCGCAAGTTATCGAAAGGCAGGGGTAGACAAGTGGGGGACTGGAAAGTTGCAAAAGAGTTATGCAGTGGACTCGACGTTCCAAGAGCTTCCGCGTATGCGAAATTTGTGTCGCTGGCGAAAAGTTGCGGGCCGTTGGCCGATTACTTGGTCCAGGAAGACACCGGCGTGAACTTTTTCGGCAAGCAGCAGCGCTACGCGCTACTATTCCCAGTCATGGCTGGCGTGATGCTGCAGCTTTCCAGAGATTTCAAGATTCTTGCGCCGGCGGCGCCCCCCAGCGAAAGATGGCTCATGGGGGCTCGCCCTGGGGGCGCAGACCATTTCTTGTCTGACGACGAACAGGAGCTTCGCCAGATCGGCAGCTCCGTGGTCTGCTCGGTTGCAGACGTCGTGGACATCGCCGCCTTGATTGGCCACGTCGAGTCTGGAGCCGACAGGCGACAGGTCCAGGTTCAGGGCTATGCTCGCTTATTGGACAATCGGGGAACAGCCTCCACGGAGGCCGCTGCAGACGGCGAGCAGCGGCCACTGAAGAGTCTCCTTCGAAAGTACGTGAAGCAAGGTTATGGGCGACTTCATACAGTGGGCCCTTCTCTGCAGAAGATAACCAGGGAAGCTCGGTGCGCCGCTCTGGCTGGGATTCCAGGAGGCGTTTTAGAACTTGACATAAAGGTTGCGTTCTTCAGCTTGTTGGTTGTGGCCTTAAAGCGGCACGAGCAGATCTGCGTCGAGGCAGAGTTCCCACTGCTGTGCGACATCGCCAGCAACTGGGGCGGGTGGAAGAGTTTTGTCTCTGGGTACTTCGACGTCGGGGTGGACGTCGCCAAGAAGCTTCTCATCCCGGCGACCAGTCCCTACGGGCGGCAATCGCCAGATCCAGCGCAGCGGCCTGACTGGCTTCCGCATTTGGATTGCGTGCAAACAGAAGTATCGAATGCCTGTCGATTTCTTCTCGAGCACGACGCTCTTTATCAGGAAGTTGCGAAAGCAAGGCCTGAATGCAGCTCGCTCCACATCTTTCTGGGCGAGCTGGAGTGCCGGGTGATGATGAGCATGAAGCATATTTTAGAGGAAGCAGGGGCCGTGCCAATTTCTCTGGTCTACGACGGCATCTACTTCAGGCCAATGGGGCTTGACGTGCACGACGAGGGCTTCATCGGACTTGTGACTGCAGTCGAAGCCGAGCACGGCGTATCCTTGCATCTGAAAGACCTAAGCGGCGCGGAGATACCCTGGAGGAGTTCCGCTCCCGAGCCTGGAGAAGGGGCCCGAGGTCAGGGTGGCGCCCCTCCTTCGCCGCCGTACCACAACGATTTCTCTTCTCTCCTGGCGGCAGCTTGCGAGAAGTCGCAGCAGAAGCTCCAGGCTGCCCCCGGAGAAAATATGTGCGCTGTGAGCGCGCTCGCCAATATGGATTTGGTTGCGGGGGAGCCGAGCCAGTCAAAGTTCGCCTGTGGACCATATTCTTACCGACAGTTGCAACATATTTATCCTTCTCTGGCGTTCCAAGAGGCGCAGCTGAGCGACGTGATCTGCGCCGACGCCGCCCACTTCTTCCTGTTGCACATTGGGGCGCCAGGAACTCGCGGCCACGCTGTTGGTCTTCGCGCCCACGGGGACTCGCAGCAGATGCTGGTGTTCGACTCGCACCGGGACTTCGTGATGCAGATTGGCGATGAGGCCTTGTACGACCTGGTTGCCCAATGGGACGAGGGCCGACGCCATGCTCGCCTGCTGCAAGTTACCGAAGACGGGCCTGTCGATGGCAACGCCGAGTCAGATTTGTTGGAATTGATTGCTGGCTCCTCTCGGCCGTGCGTGAAGAAGCCTGCGGGTCAAGGTTGCTTGAGGCGGCCCGCCGAAGCTCCGAGTTTCCCGACGCCCAAGAAAGGGCGGGCAAGGGCCGCCGCCCGCAGCCTGGTCGGGCGAACGGCAAAGGCGTCAGCGAAGTCTAAGGCATACAGGAACACGAAGTACGTGCGCCACGGCAAGCCGACGACGAAGAGCAGGGGCGACCGCGACAAGTGGAGCATCGACCTTGGATCCATCTTGGAGATGCCTGACGATAAGCTCTACCGCCGGTGCATCCGCGATAACATCCTGGACAACAAGGAGGGCAAGATGTGTCTTCACTGCTGCAAAGGTTTGGCGGCTGGGAATCAACGCAAACACGCTCGCTGCAGACGGGGGGAGGGGGCTTGGGGATGAGGGGTCGCGAGGTTGGCGGGCGTGGCCGTTGATTCCCACTGCACCTAGAGGTAGACTCGGCTGTCTTCGCAAGGTGAAAGGCCGCGGCCTTCGGTACAGGTGCAACCGCAAGGGCTGTCAGAAGTTCACTGTTCCACATGCTCATCACCCCGTCTTCTCTACTGGGTGGGGGGCCACGCATTCGCCTTTCAAGAAGCAGGTGGCCATCTTGTTCAGCATTCTAGCAGGAGGAAGCAATCCCACGATTCGCAGATTGATCTCTTCCGCAAACCACAAGGCGATCGAAAGGATCTCGATTGCCGTGAAGAAGCAGCGCGAGAAGTTTGTCAAGAAGCGAGAGAAGACGATCGTTTTCGGGGTTGGCAACGACCGCGACTGGAGGGACGCTGAAGCAGATGAAGCAGTCTTTGGAAGGGCAGCCAAGGCGGACGACCCCGAGAGCGTGGAATGGGAGCAATGGGCGGGCATCGTGGAGCGAGGCCGGCCCGAGTCGCTGGTGCTGGCGAAGACTACCGCGGCTCCCACGGTGAAGAGGGCTCCTGGGCCAGGCGCAATCAGGAAGGTCGATTGGGCGCTTCTGGCAAACCGCTACTTGAAAGGTAGGCGCATTATTTTGCATACGGACCGCGCTAAGAGCTACGCCATGCGAGTTGAGGGAGTGTTGCACGATTCAGTGCGGCACTGCAAAAAGAGAGTGAAAAAAAATGGCAAGTGGGTGTGGATGAAGCCGTGCTACGCGCGCTTGGCAACTCATAAGCTTCCATGTGGTAGGAAGTTGCGCACCAAGGCCGGCTCCCAGGTTATCGACAGCGCTTGGAAATACATCCGCTCAACCTTGGGAGGCCAGACAATGGTGCCCAATTCTGAGACGGCCGCCACTGCAATTCGCAGCGCCCAGTGGCTTTACTGGCACAGGGGCAAAGACCTTTGGGCCGAGATGGGATCCACGTTCTGTGCCAACTTTTGGCGGAGGTAAATTGTTACTGCAAACTTGGACAGCGATGGTGTCCTCGTACTTCTTTGCTTTGAAAAGGGCTTCAAGGTAGATCTCAGAGGGGGGGGCACGCATATATTTATATATATTTATACTGAAAGAATTGACGAAAATCCTGGGTCCCCGATGCTCCTGGTTCCGGGTTCCGAGCCGATCTTGGTGGGCGGATTACAGGCAGCCTATACCGGCTGGGTTCCCTGGTTCCCGCTTCCCGGGGTTCCCGGCAACTAGCCCAGTCCCTGGGTGCCCGTCGGTGGGCGGCTGGGCTCCTGGGTGGCCGGTTGCCGCCTCTGGGGTCCCTGGGGTCAGAATTGCGAGCAGAGCTGGCCGGAATAGTTGGTTGGGGAGAGAGAGAGAGAGAGAGAGAGAGGGAGAGAGAGTAAGCTATTTGTGGCCGCTGCTAGACATGACATTGGATGATGGGTGAGAAGGTCAGAGAGAGAGGGTATAGTACGTATTGAGAGAGAGAGAGAGAGAGAGAGCACATATCAGAGAGAGTTGGGCAAAGGTGGGTGAAAACATGAATATGGAGGAGAAGAGAGCGAGAGAGCGAGAGAGATGGAGAGGAACACCATGAGAGAGAGAGAGAGACACACACAAACACTGCACATGTATACATGCTTACACGTATAGTCAGGTGGGAGCAGGTCTGGTAGAGTGCAGGGCGAGGTGCGAGGGCATATCAAATAAACCGAAACTATATGTCTATCCAAGATAAAATCCGGAAAGATACAGAGAGTGCGAGAGAGACGGTGGGATGGAGAGAGAGAGAGAGATAAACAAAAAGAGAGAAAGAGCGAGAAGGAGAGGGTTAGCGTGGAGTGGATGCGGAAATTCCAAGGAATTCACTTCTTGGGGTTGTTCTCTGGTGTGTTCGTCAAACAGTGGCGCGTCGCATCACGGCTGCGACGCGGAAGAAGAACGGCACGAGACGCGACTGCGAGGCAGGAAGCGAAGCGCAGCAGGACTGTGAAGCAGAAGACAAGAGGGGGCGGAGGGGAGGGAGAAGGAACGCGGACAAAGAGGGGCACTGCGGCTGCACATGGTGAGTCAGTTCGTACACTTGCCTTGGCCATTGCTGGCGGGGGCGGCCCGTTTTCCGCGCCCAGCCCACTTCTTGCGAGCCCGTCGTCGCTGCAAGCTGCGGCCTTGACGAGTGAGGGGCACTCGGGACTCTTCATTTGAATGTGCAAGGCTGCCTGTTTGGTTCGCAGAATCTGCGACAGCAGTTCGGCGGATGCTTTTGTTGCAGCACTGCTGCGTGACTAATCCAGGAGAGAGAGGGTACACGGATGTCCAGCAAGCGACGTAAGCATTTGCGGCGAACCGAATCTAATCGGCCACGGTCTGCGTTCAGAAGCCATACGTAATCTAAAGAATACCAGATCTTGCTCAGGAGGCAACTTTCATTTAGAATGAACGCCCTTTCCCTCCCAATAAAATTCCGAGACCATATCCAGCGAAACTGCTTGAAAACAGTGTTGGTTTCTCCCAACCGCCTGTTTGATTCAATTGACACTTTCCCGTCACAAGAAATAAGACCGCCCAAGTACATCTATACAGTTTGCTTACCACTTGGGGCCGATATGCTCCAGAGTGCTGGTTTCTGTCTTTGTGCAGACTCGTCCCAATTGATGTTCATTCCGTACTTCCTGTCTTCGTCCACGATTGCTTCCAGCATGCAAACAGGAGGGAGGAGGAAGGAGGGAGGAGGTGAGAGGGAGGAGATTGATGGGGGTGAGGTTTTGGATCACGACCTGGCCTGTGGAGCGTCTTTTTGTCTTGAGTGGCGCGTCGACCCTTCGGGCCCAGCCGCGGGCCCTGCCGGAGCCCGCGCTGGGCTTGTCGGGTGCCCCCGCGCCCGACAAGCCAACGCGATTGCGCTTGCCTGCGGAGCTCACCCCGAGGCCCAAGGCGCGGAGCTCTCCCCAAAGGATCGTCGCCCTTGGTCTTGGCCTGTGGGGCCTCCTTTCGTTCTGCCTTGCGCGTCGACCCCTCGGGCCCTGCCGGAGCACCCGCTGGGCGAGCGCTGCTCCCCTGTTCCCCTGCGCCCGCGCCCCACGACCAAGGCATCTTTTCGCCTGCCTGTGGGAACTTGTCGTTTGCCTCTGGCGTCGCGGCGTTGGTCTTACAGCGTAAGGGCGGGTCTCACGGGGGCATGCCCGCGAGGCGCGCCACAGCCTCTGCAGCACGCTGGCGTTCTCTGGCGCTCCCTGCCTGGGCGCAGGCCACACTCCTGTTGGCGCTGCCGGGGGGGCCATGGTGACATGGATTTTCGCCAGGATGAACTCACAGATTGTTGGGGCGGCTCGCCCAGGACGTGTTGACAAGACTCCGTTCCGCTCTCTCTGCCGCAGAGCAGCTGGCGCGTGAAGATTCTTTGTTCTTTTTTGTGATTGTTGTTGCTGTTGCTGTTGTTGTTGCTGCTGAATTCTCCTTACTGAAGAAAAATGATTGTTGATCCCCCCTCCGGTTACAATTTTGCTTTTCAATTTGAATACTCCCCCCCGGGGCTCGCACCCTGTTTAAAATCACTCGGATCAAACTGCGTTTTTGGCCCCCAGATTAGAACAACGGCTCCCGCCTGAGAATTTCTTACAATTTATCCTGGATCCCCGCTCCTGCCTGCGACTTCCTTGCAAGTTACTCAGGAATCGCGTTCGGGACTTCCTAACAATTCATGACGGAATTGCTCTCGGCGCTCTGGCGTCGCGCTCTTGCAGCAGACACGCTTTCAAGAATCGCGCTCATGTGTTGGAACTCCCCGCAATGTACTCAAGCGCCGCGCTCCCGACACTCAGGCACCAGGAGTCGCGCTCATGCTTAGGACTCCCTCACAGCTTCCTTGGGGGTCGGGATCTCGCTGCCTTACGTGGTCCCGTTGCAGCCCTTCGTGACCCCCTCGCTGCCGTCCTGGAACCCGTTGCAGCCCTTCGTGGCCCACTCGCTGCCCTGTCTTGGCACCCGTTGCACCCCTTCGCGGCCCCCTCGCTCCCCTTCGTGAGCCCGTTGCAGCCCTTCGTGCCCCCTCGCTGCCCTTTGCGTTCCCGTTGCTCCCCTTCGTGGCCCCCTCGCTGCCCTTCGTGGCCCCGTTGCAGCCCTTCGCGCCACCCATCGCTGCCTTCCGTGGCCCTGTTGCACCCCTTTGTTGCCCCCTCGCTGCCCTTCGTGACCCCATTGCAACCCTTCGCGCCCCCCATCGCTGCCTTCCGTGGCCCTGTTGCACCCCTTTGTTGCCCCCTCGCTGCCCTTCGTGGCCCCGTTGCACTCCTTCGCGGCCCCCATCGCTGCCCTTCGTGGCCCCGTTGCAGCTCTTCGTGGCCCCCTCACTGCCTCTCGTGGCCCCATATAGATTCATGCCCTTCGTGGCCCCCGCTAGTTCGCGCCCGTCGTGGCCCGTACGTGTGCGCTCCGTGGCCCCGCTGTCGCCCTTCGCGGCCCAATGCGCTGCCATTCGCGGCCCCATATGCGTGCCCTTCGTGGCCCCGCTGTCGCCATTTGTGGCCCCCTCGCTGTCCTACGTGGCCCCGTTGCTACCCTCAGTGGCCCCGTCGTTGCCCTCTGTGGCCCCGCGTTATGTGCCCTTCGTGGCCCCGGCATTCGCGCCCTACGTGGCCCCATGCGCATGCCCTTCGTGGCCCCGCTGTCGCTCTCGCTGTCGCTCTCGCTTTCGCTCTCGCTTTCGCTCGTCGTTGTCGTCGTCGTCGTCGTCGTCGTCGTCGTCGTCGCCGTCGTCGTCGTCGTCGTCGTCGTTGTCGGTCCCCTGTCCGTCCCTCTTGTAGTCGGGTTGCCGCCGATCGGCGCTGCCGCTGGCCAGGCCGATGGTCCGCGGCCGCCTCGCCGCCTGCCGGGGCCAGGCCTGCAGGGAAGAAAGATATCCCCCAAAGGGTACGATCGAAGACGAAGAAGGCGGGTATCGAGGGTTTGGGAAATACGCGTTGAATGCCACTCGAGAAGAAAAGAGCGAAGAGTATTAACATGGTTGTTGTGGTTGCTGGTGCTGTTGCTGTTGGTGTTGTAGTTGTTGTTGTTGCTGTTGTTGTTGCTTGCTGTTGCTGCTGTTGCTGTTGTTGTTGCTGGTATTGCTGTTGTTGTTGTTGCTGCTGCTGTTGTTGTTGTTGCTGCTTGTTGCTTAATGTTTGTTGTGTGTTGTTTGTTGATGTTTGTTGTTTGTTGTCTGTTGTTGTTGCCGTCTTGTGGTGTCTCTCTCTCTCCCTCTTTCTCTCCTCTCGTATCGGCGCTGCGGCCGGTGATTTTGATGGAACCGACCGAGGAAACGGCTGCGCCATGGCCATGGCGGCTGAGGAGCTGCTGGATCAGGATGCGCTGCTGCTTCAACCGGCACACTGAATCGGGAATACTTGGTGGCGTGCTCTCCGCATGATATCCCCATCATGATCCTCCTGGTGCTCATCCTCATCCTCCTCTCCCTTCCACACTTCCTCCCCCTCCTCCATGTCCTCATCAACCATCTGGCTCCCCTCCTCATCCTCTTTGTCTCCATCATTACCTCCGTCCTTTTCCTTCTCCCTTCATCCCCCCATTCCCCCTCCCTCGTCCATCCGCCTTACTCCCCCCCCCCCCCCCTCTGTCATCATGGTGCTCCTCATTCTCCCTTTTCTTCCGTCCTCCTTCTCCCCCCACATCTCCCTTCGCATTATCCTCCTCTCCCTTCATTCCCTCCCCTCCTCCCCTCCTGCCCCCCTCCCGCCTCCTTCATTTTTCCACCGACAGCGACGCCGACGACGGCGGCGGCCGCGGCGGCGACCACGCTGACCTCGACCACGACGACGTAACCAGGGCGACGACGTCGTTGTCGACGGCGGCGCCCGCGGCGGCGACCACGCTGACCTCGACCACGGCGACGACGACGAGTGCGACGCCGTCGTTGTCGACAACAGCGGCCGCGGAGGCGGCGTCCTGGGAAGCCATCGGGCAGCTGGTCCTCGCAAGCCGATGCGCTGCCCTGCGACCCCGCCCGCCGGCAGCGGGCGCCCGCCGCCGCCAGGCCGCCGCCGCCGCTGTCACGACGAAGCCAGGACAGGGACAACATCGGACAGGGATGAATTCGCGGACGAAAAGCTGTAGAAAACAAACTTTGCCGCCGTCGCGAACGCCTGCCCCAAGGCGGCTGGTTAGTTTGTACCCAAGCGTGCCACTGTAGGGGTTTCCAGCCGCCCCGGGGCAGGCGTCCCCCGCGACTGCAAAACCATTCCACACAATTCTCCGTCCGCTAAACTAACCAAGGATGAGATCCGGGAGTTCTGGTCGATGCAACGGGAGCCGCGGCCTTCTTAGACCGTCCCAGGGCCATCTGAGAATGCTGCGGAACGCTCTGGAACGAGATCACCCCTGTCGTAGCCCCGCCGGGGTCGCGGTATTCGTCGAAGCGGTCACCGGCGGCGTCGCCGTGTCGCCGCCGGCGTCGCCAACGTCGTCGGGGTCGTCGGGGCCGTCGTGGTCGGCGTGGCTGCTGCGGCCTCTGTCGTAGTCTCGCGGTCGGCGCTGTCGTCGCAGGACGGGAGGGGGAGGAAGAGGAGAAGGAAGAGGGGGAAAAGGGGGGGGAAGAGGGGAAGGGGAGGACAAGGGGGAGGAAGAAGGGAGGAGGGGGAGGAAAGGGAGAGGAGGAGGGGGACGAAGAGGGTGAGGAAGAGGGTGAGGCAGCAGGGGGGAAAAAACAGGAGGAGACGGGACGGAGGGGGACGCAGACGGCTCCGTGAGGGAAAAGTATAGGAAAGACCGCCTGAACTTATGCTGCATAATAAGGGAACCTTGTCCGTCCCCGTCGCGCCGCGATCCGCGTCGAATCCGCGTCGAATAGGGGGAAAACAAACCTACCTCGCTTTTGACCACCCTCGCTTCCAAGAGATACCAAACGATGCCAAACTACGGCCTGTACTGGTCAGGCCGCTTGACGAGGAGGCGCGTGGTATGACTTGGTTTTGCCTGGAAGCGAAAGCGGGGTAGGTAATTCACGCTCCGATCGAATACTTGTCGAGCGCGTCGAATCAGTGTCGAATCCTTGCCGGATCTGTGCCCGAATCCACGTCGGATGCGCGTCGGACCCACGCCAGGGTACAAGAAAAGACTGCAGTTACAGGACAGGGAAGCTCCCGGTGATGCAACTTCCCTTTCGGGGAAGGGTTTACCCCTTCCCCCTGCCCCCCCCCAGGACCTGCCAAAGGATGTCCCGCGACCGATTGCAGCGTCAAAGATGGCCCAAGATGGTTCCAAGAGGGCCTCATATGGCTCAAGATATCACAAGATAGCCCCCGACGTGATCCAAGAGGGTCCAATACCGCCACAAGACGGCTCCAAGCGGCCTCGTAACACCCCAAAGAAAGCACCCAAGAGGTCCACATCCTCCCAACACCTAAGGAACATCCATGTGATTTGGTTGCTCGCCCTTTCGCTTCTGATGGCGTTCCGAGGCGTCACGATGGAACAAAGATGGCCCAAAAAGGACCTCAGTGAGGCCCAGGCGGGGTCCAAGGCGGCCCTAAGAGCTACCAAGAGCGCCCTCATAATGCTCAGGGCTCCAAGAGACGACTTTGGGGGCTCCAGAAGGGGCGATGCTAATTGAAATTCCTGCCGTCTTTGAACAACCTCCTCCAAGATGAGTGGGCTCCCAAGGAAGCCCCCAAAGAGCCCCAAGAGGCCCCCAGGAGGCCCCCAAGAGGCTCCAAAGCGGCCCCCACGCCACTCAAGAGACCTCCCAGGAAGCCCCCAAGAGACATCCCAAGAGACCCCGAGTGATTCTCTCTCCTCCTCGTCGTCGTCGTCGTCCTCCTCCTCCTCCTCCTCCTCCTCCTCCTCCTCCATGTGCTCCTCTTCCTCCGTCGTCGTCCTCCTCCTCCATCGTCGTCGTCCTTTTCCTCCTCCTTAGAAGATAGATAACAGCTGTCCCCCCCAAATTGTTCCGACAATTCCCTGCTCACTTCCATTCTATGGGGCATCGTTTCTGGTGCTTCGGGTGGGGATACTTTCTGGTTCGCGGGCCCGCGAAGCAGGCCGAAAGCCGGGCAAAGCTACAGTGCGGGCGCGGCAACAAGAAGCCCTCGCAAAAAAAAAACGGAGAACCCGCGCGCGAGGTGCACCCGAGGGGAAACCTGGCGCACCTTGAACGCAGCAGCTTCTTCAACGGGTGCGGAAAGTCACCGCGCAGCGCGAGGAGCGAATAAGCCCAGGATGCCCTGACGAAGAGCATATCGTTTCTTGATGCGCGCCCCCACTGCAGGGCGGGGCGCGCTAAAACAAAGGAGCAAAAACAGTCAGGAGCAGCGCCCGGCTCAGAAGCGGGTGCAGCGTCCAAGATGGCGTAGGAACTGGCAGACCGGCACGGTGACAACGTGCACAAGGGTGCAAGTGGGACGCGGGTGCGAAGCGGTGTGGAAGATCTACCCCGCACCAGGGAATGTGGCGCCCCAGAATGCACGTGCCTAAGAAGGTGACCGAAAGCGCCACGAATACCCAGCACACGATGGTGACCAGGAGAAAGAAACAGGCGTCCATAGGCCTGTGCCCCAGGGAACGTGCCAAACACGAAGTCCTTGACTCCGAAGGCCTTCACGACGTGCAACGAGCACGCGAGCCAGGAGAAGCAGCGTGAACGACCCCGAGACGGGCGTGATCAACGCAGTAGCAGCGTCAAGCGGGTGCCGAGGAGGTGCACGGCCTCCAGGTCACCGGGTAGGGCGCGCAGACGACCGGCGACGCGCGGAGAGGACCGGCACCGCGAGGAAAACGCGGAGGACGGACGGTCTGCGGCCGCTCCGCGCCCTCCACCGAGCAGGCGAGAGGCCCCCCAGGCAAGGGCGAGCGCAGACTCGGAGAGCAGCCGCGGGCAGCGCGACCAGCCTTCCGAGCGCCCGGCGCGCCGAGGCCCCGAGGCGGCTGCAGCGGCCGGCACGACGGCGCCGTGCGAGAAGGCGGCCCACGGTGACCGCGAGCACACGGCGCCCGGAAAACGAGTGCAGCGCCACCGCCGCGGGCATCCCGCGCGGGGGCGCGGCGGGCAGCCGGCAGCCCAGCAGCCAGCAGCCCGCAGTGAGAAGCCCGCGTCGGGGTCCAGAGCCGAGGCCACCGCCGAGCCTGAGCTTCACCAGGGTGCCGACGAACGCCTTCAGCGAGCGGGGAGGATCCCTGACTTAAACAGCAGCGCGTCCTTGCCGAACACCATCGCCATGAATCCTTGCGGCCATCACGCCGACGAGGAACAGGGAGGGCGCCGCCGCCGCGTGTGCAGCTGCAGCGCGCCAGCCGTCCGTAACCCAGACCTGGCAGCAGCTGCAGCAGTTCATGAGACGCCGCCAGCCAAGAGGCGACCCAGGGTGCGTCACCGGGAGCAGGGGAGGGAGGAGGAGGAGGAGGAGGAGGAGGAGGAGGAGGAGGAGGAGGAGGAGGAGGAGGAGGCGCAGCAGGTACCCTGAGTGGCAGCAGGGCGGGCGCCAGCGGCCCCAGCCGCGGGGAGCCCGTAGTATTCAGCAGGAGCGCCAGCCCGAGTGCCAGGGCAAGGCAGGACCTCGAGAGGTGCCTACCAGCCAGTAGCCCCAGGAGATGGCGAGGGTGGGAGGATGGCGACTGATCGTCGCAAACGCAGGAAACGAGGAGCGATGAGAGGCGGAAGCTGATCGCTGCAAGTGCGCGGAGGGAAGGATGGGAGGAGATGGCGAACCCCAGGAGCAGCTGATCGCTTCAGAAACGCATGGACTGTGGAACCGCGTACATGGAGAACCCCAGGAAACAAGGACAGGAGGATGGGCGGCAGAAAGAAGCAGCGACGCGAAGCGTCAATTATTGCCAATTACATTTTTTGTAGACGAAGCATGCGGTTGTCTGGCTTTGGTTGAGGCCGTGGCTCCAGCGTGGCTCGCTCTGACTGCCCTGTCATGCGGCAGCGTGGGCGGCTGGAACACTGTCCCTCCTGACAACTGGGGTCCAGGAGAACTTGATTTCGAAAAACTGGTGTCCTGATATCTTATTTCGAAAACTGCCTCTGGAATTCAAGAAGCTGGTTTCTTGAATTCAAGGCCACAGTTTTTTGAGCTCAAGGAACCAATTTCCCTTCCCTTCTCCCAGGAGCTTTCTTCTGGAAATTCAAGAAGCCACTTCCATAGAGGGGGCCCCCAGCCAAGATTCGATGATCTTCAGAAAGTGTTTTAGCGCCAACGTGTGTTTGCCGACTGAGGCCCTTCACTACGACAAAGGCGATGTGATGATCGACTTGTTGGGTGGAACGGGGTAAACACACACTGGGCTAACACACGTCCTGAGGATCATCAAAAGGTCCATACGCACCCAGGAAACATGCCTGTGAGGCCAGACAAATAGACCCCTCTCCCTCGAGTCTACCCTCTACGTCTGCCTTCCTGCGCGCCGCCACGACCCGAAGAGAAAGCTGTAAAGTTTAAACTCAGCTCCACCTGGATGCGGATTTCACTGTTTCTGAAGGGCAGCCAAGGGGAAGAAAGAAGAGCGAAGCGGGGGGGTGGGGGCTGCTGGGCAGCCCTTCCTTCCGCGAACCTCCAGCCCATCTCCTCCCTCTCCCTCCTATCCCTCCCTCTCCTCCCATCCTGCCCCTCCTTCGCCTGGCTCTCCCTGCATCCGCCTCTTCCATCATTTTCCTTCCTCGTGTGCCCCCTTCCCTCAGCCTTCCCCTGCACCGCCTCCCGAAACTCGGGCGTCGTGCCCCCCGAGGTCCAGACACCTTCCCTCGGAACCGGCGTTTGATCCCGGCGAAGGCACCCAGAGGCTGAACCTACCCCAGCAAAGCACCGTCAAAGCAGCAATGATGAAAGGGCGGGTCGAGGAGAAGGAGGAGCATGGCTGGGAAGCCCCGAGAAAGAACAAGTACAGCCTCGACATGGGATGAGAGCACAGCCATGTGCTAACGGGCGAAGAACGGTGTAACATCAACTTTTTCGCTGTCGGGGGCGCCTGTCCCTGGGCGGCTGGAAAGTTTATGCCCTTACTGTGGCACCGTAGGGGTATAAACTTTCCAGCCGCCTAGGGGCACGTGTCCCCGACGGCGGAAAGCTTATTGTATACCGTTCTTCGCTCGCTGAATGTGCACCTTACCCCATTTGTTACGAAGTGATCGTGGCCGTCTGGACCAGGCCCGCATGGAGGCAGAAACGCGATTCCTAGAATAGATTGCGTAGGGGGTCTCGACCGACACGGCTGCCAGACTGGGCGGTCTCGGGCTCTCCATGGTCCATGGGACTCACCTGTGGTCTCCCTTTTGTTGCTACCACGTTTCGAACCCTCCAGCGGGACGGCATTAGGGAAATAACCAAGAGCTCCTGCCCCTCCCTCCCCTTCCCTCTCCCCCCATCCTCCCCCTCATTCGCCCCACCCTCCCTGCCTCTCGCCCTCAACCTCAGCCTCTTGAGCTTTTCTCTGCGCCGTTCTCCGTGGAGGATTCCCGAATGTGGCCCGAGCACGTGGGGACGCAACAGCGCGCCGCATCCCCGATGGGTCGGCGCTGCGGCCAAATTCTCCGACCTCGTCTGCTCGGATCCCGTGTGGGACTGGGCGCGCACCTGCCCTCCAGCAGGGGAACAAACAATGGCACAGACATCTAAAATCAGCCTGGCGACGGACCCAACCATATGCAGCTGTCAGTGCCGTCGTTGTAAGTATTGCCTTCGGTGGATCTCCTTCGGGTCCTCGAACGAGTGAGCCACTGGAACTTTCGGTGGAGCACCCTATGGGGTCACGAAACGTGTGAGAGGTCCGCAGTCAGGGGGGTGGAACCGAATGCGGGCGCTGCCACTGGGGCCTTCGGTGGAGCCTCGCCACGAAATGTGTGAAGGGTTCACCGACATGGAGGGAGGGACTGCATGCGGGAGCTGTCAGTGGGGCCTTCGGTGGAGCTCCCTATGGGGCCACGACGCGTGTGAGCGGTTCACCGAAATGGCGGGTAGAACTGCGTGCGGGCGCTGCCACTGGGGCCGTAAGTGGAACTCCCTACGGAGCCACGAAACGTGTCAGGAGTCAGGAGTGTACCAAAATGGAGGGTGGAACCGCATGCGGGCGCTGCCAGCGGGGCCTTCGGTGGAGCTCCCTGTGGGGCCACGAAACGTGTGGAGGGTTGTGCCGAAAAAGGGGTGGAACTGCATACGGGCGCTGCCACTGGGGCCTTCGGTGGAGCTCACTAACCGGATGCGGGCCCTTCCGCTGGGGCCTTCGGTGGAGCTCCCTATGGGGCCACGAAACGTGTGAGGGGGTCGTCGACATGGAGGGTGGAACCGCATGCGGGCGCTGTCACTGGGGCCTTCGGTGAAGCTCTCTATTGGGGCTACGAAACGTGTGGGGTGTACCGAAACGGAGGGAGGAACTGCATGTGGGAGCTGTCAGTGGGGCCTTCGGTGAAGCTCCCTGTGGGGCCACGATGCGTGCGAGGGGTGTACCGTAATTGAGGGTGGACCTGCATGCGGGCGCAGCCACTGGGGCCCTCGGTGGAGCTCCCTATAAGGCTACGAAACGTGTGATGGGTGTGCCGAGAAGGGGGTGGAACCGCGTGCGAGAGTGGGGCCTTCGGTGGGGCTCCCTATGGAGTCACGAAACGTGTGAGGGGTACACCGACATGGAAGGTGGAACCGCATGCGGGCGCTGTCAGTTGGGCCTTCGGTGGAGCTCCCTGTGGGGCCACGAAGCGTGCGAGGGGTGTACCGAAGTGGACATGCGACATGCGGGTTGCGCCGAAACAGACGCACGCGGAGGGCAAAGGCAGGGATGGGAGGAGGGGGGACGGGGAGGAGGAAGGAGAGAAGAGGAGATGCGGGGCGCTCTCTTCAAAACGGGGGCCCAAGACCACAGGATGGCTGGAACAGAAATCGGAAGTCCGCGCGAGCTCCTCGGATCGGCGCTGGGCCCTCCCTCCCTGGCGCGCGGAAGCGCCGCCAGGGGCGACCCCAACGCCGATCCGAGGAATCCGCGCAGACCACCGAGTTGCCATGTCCTAGGGCTCCCAACTTCGCGCTTCGCGCTGCGCGAAGCGCGAAGCGCGAATAACTTCGCGCTCTCGCGCCGCCCTCCCAAAGGGAGAATAGGAGGACGAGGAGGAGGAGGAGAAGGAACGAGGACCGCGAAGCGCGAAGCGCGAATAACTTCGCGCCCTCGAGGGAGCCCTTGCATGTCTGTGCCACGAGTTGTCCCCCGGAAGCCCTGGTCAGACTGCGCTCGCGCCGTGCAGCCTGCCCCGACCGCCTCGCGCGTCGCACGTCTCGCCCACCCGGCCTCGCAGACGCACGGTCCAGACACGGCGGAGGGGTCTTCGACCAGCTCGTCCTGGGAGCCCCCGAGGTAGCACGTCCTGGCCTCGGGGAAGTAGCCGAAGAACTTGTAGGAGGCGTTGGTCTGGCAATTCCTGCGCCGCGCGCGTCGCGGAAGGGAGGGGGGAGAGCGAGGAAGACAAGGATGGTACGTAAGAGGAAGACTGCACACGAGGAGGATGAGGGGAACAAGCTCGCGTGACAAATTAAGAACACGTCCGACCCGACCCGCATTCCTGCCCTGACCCCCGCCCCCGAGAGTCCCAACCTGGGTAAGACACATCTACAGGATAAGACCTTGCAGCGACGGAGCGCGCCGCCAGAGCTGGCGTAGACGGAGTTGCAGAGCACGGCGCAGTCTGGTCTCGCCTTGGAGCCTAGACGAGCGCTCATAGTTGTGATAGCTGACGCAGGCATAATCAAACAAACAGGCATATGAAATGAGCTGGTCAAGCGGAATGGGGAGGAGCGGGAAGACAGCGGCACGTAGTGGGGCCACCGAGCGAGGGCAAAGAGGGGGAAGACGAGGGAACCAAGCAGCAACGTACACAAGAGGAGGGCACTCGAGCAAGCGAGCGCGAGATCCACAGTCCAGATCATGGCAGAAATCGTGCGTCGAAGCCGGCCCGCGGAATCGTTCGGAGGTCGCCCACCTATTCCATACACTTTTTTTTGGACGACGACGAACACCATGAGAGGCCAAAAGATCTCCACTCGCAGCTTGAAATGGCCCTTGAACCGGCACCGGCATGCTGCCGAAGATTAGCGGGCAGCCCCTACCCACGCGCTCCGTAATTTGGGTAATTACAGCGCTCCCTGTATTAGGCGGCCTACGCTGGAGGAGGAGAAGGAGGAGGAGGAGGAGGAGGAGGAGCAAAAGGAGCACACGGGGCGGCGTTTTGGCCGCGATCCTACCCACGGCAGCACAAAGTTTGCCACAAGCATAGGGAGAGCGTGGGACCCGGTGTCTGCCTCGGGCCTTCAGGGCGCACGCGGCATTTAGTCGGGCCTGACGAAAAATAAAAACAATTAGCCTGGCGAAGAACCCAACCATATGCAGTTGTCAGTACCGCAGCTGCGGGTTTCATATTCAGTGGAACTCCCCATAAGACTACGGAACGTGTGAGGGGTGTGCCGAGATGGGTGCCACTGGGGCATTCGGCGGAGCTCCCTATGGGGACATGAAACACGCGCGGGGCGTGCCGACATGGGTGGCGGAAGCGCATGTGAGGGCCGCCACTCGGGCCTCCAGTGGAGCTCCCTATGGGTCCCCAAAACATGATGCTGCTGCGGGGGGGGGCCGGGATGGGTGGCGGAGACGCATGTAAGCGCCGCTAGTTACTGGGGCCTTCGGTGGAGCTCCCTATGGGGCCACGATGCGCGTGAGAGGTGTACTGGGATGTGTGGCGGAGACGCATGTGAGCGCCGCCACTGGGGCCTTCGGTGCAGCTCCCTATGGGGCCACGAAACGTGTGAGGGGTGTGCCGAATTTGGTGCGGGTGGTGACGCATGCGGGCGGTGCCACTGGGGCCTTCGGTGGAGCTCCCTATGGGGCCACGAAACTTGTTGTTGTGAGGGGCGTGCCGGGATGGGTGGCGGGGACGCATGTGAGCGCGGCCGCTGGGGCCTTCGGTGGAGCTCCTTATGGGGCCACGAAACGTGTGAGGGGTGTGCAGAATTCGGTGGGTGTGGGTGACGCATGTGAGCGCCGCCACTGGGGCCTCCGATGGATGATGGGGCCACAAAACCTGTCAGGGATATGCCGAAATGGGTGTGCGGGACGCATGCGGGCGGCAGCACTGGGGCCTTCGGTGGGGCTCCCTATGGGGCCACGAAGCGTGTGAGGGGTGTGCCGAATTGGGTGTGCGTGACGGATGCGGGCGGCAGCGCTGGGGCCTTCGGTGGGGCTCCCTGTGGGGCCACGAAAGGTGTGAAGGGTGTGCCGAACTGGGTGTGCGTGACGCATGCGGGCGGCAGCACTGGGGCCTTTGGTGGGGCTCCCCATGGGGCCACGAAGCGTGTGAGGGGTGTGCCGACTTGGGTGTGCGTGACGCATGCGGGCGGCAGCACTGGGGCCTTCGGTGGGGCTCCCTCTGGGGCCACGAAGCGTGTGAGGAGTGTGCCGAATTGGGTGTGCGTGACGGATGCGGGCGGCAGCACTGTGGCCTTCGGTGGGGCTCCCTATGGGTCACGAAGCGTGTGAGGGGTGTGCCGAATTGGGTGTGCGTGACGGCGGTGTGCCTTCGTGGGCTCCCTATGGGGCCACGAAACGTGTGAGGGGTGTGCCGACGGGACGCATGCGGGCGGCAGCACTGGGGCCTTCGGTGGAGCTCCCTATGGGGCCACGAAACGTGTGAGGGGTGTGCCGAAATGGGTGTGCGGGACGCATGCGGGCGGCAGCACTGGGGCCTTCGGTGGAGCTCCCTATGGGGCCACGAAACGTGTGAGGGGTGTGCCGAATGGGTGTGCGGGACGCATGCGGGCGGCAGCATGGGGCCTTCGGTGGGGCTCCCTATGGGGCCACGAAACGTGTGAGGGGTGTGCCGAATGGGTGTGCGGGACGCATGCGGGCGGCAGCACTGGGGCCTTCGGTGGGCTCCCTATGGGGACTGGGGCCTTCGGTGGGGCTCCCTATGGGGCCACGAAGCGTGTGAGGGGTGTGCCGAATTGGGTGTGCGTGACGCATGCGGGCGGCAGCGCTGGGGCCTTCGGTGGGGCTCCCTATGGGGCCACGAAAGGTGTGAGACCGGCACTGCGAACTGGGCGCCTATGCGGGCGGCAGCACTGGGGCCTTCGGTGGGGCTCCCTATGGGGCCACGAAACGTGTGAGGGTGTGCCGAATTGGGTGTGCGTGACGAATGCGGCGGCAGCACTGTGGGCCTTCGGTGGGGCTCCCTTATGGGGCCACGACACGTGTGAGGGGTGTGCCGAACTGGGTGTGCGTGACGCATGCGGGCGGCATCATTATGGCCTTCGGTGGGGCTCCCTCTGGGGCCACGAAACGTGTGAAGGGTGTGCCAAATTGGGCGTGCGGGACGCATGCGGGGGGCAGCACTGGGGCCTTCGGTGGGGCTCCCTATGGGGCCACGAAGCGTGTGAGGAGTGTGCCGAATTGGGTGTGCGTGGCGCATGCGGGCGGCAACACTGGGGCATTCGGTGGGGCTCCCTATGCGGCCACGAAACGTGTGAGGGGTGTGCCGAATTGGGTGTGGGTGACGCATGCGGGCGGCAGCACTGGGGCCTTCGGTGGGGCTCCCTATGGGGTCACGAAAGGTGTGAGGGTGTGCCGAACTGGGTGTGCGTGACGCATGCGGGCGGCATCATTGTGGCCTTCGGTGGGGCTCCCTATGGGGACGGGGCCACGAAACGTGTGAGGTGTGTGCCGAATTGGGTGTGGGTGGCGCATGCGGGCGGCAGCACTGGGGCCTTCGGTGGGGCTCCCTACGGGGCAACGAAACGTGTGAGGTGAGTGCCGAACTGGGTGTGGGTGACGCATGCGGGCGGGAGCACTGGGGCTTCCGGTGGGGCTCCTTATGGGGCCACGAAGCGTGTGAGGGGTGTGCCGAATTGGGTGTGACGATGCGGGCGGCAGCACTGGGGCCTTCGGTGGGCTCCCTATGGGTGTGAGCTCCCTATGGGCCACGAAACGTGTGAGGGGTGTGCCGAATTGGGTGTGGGTGACGCATGCGGGCGGCAGCACTGGGGCCTTCGGTGGGCTCCCTATGGGGCCACGAAACGTGTGAGGGGTGTGCCGAATGGGTGTGGGTGACGCATGCGGGCGGGGCACTGGGGCCTTCGGTGGGCTCCCTATGGGGCCACGAAGCGTGTGAGGGGTGTGCCGAATTGGGTGGGTGACGCATGCGGGACGCATGCGGGCGGCAGCACTGGGGCCTTCGGTGGAGCTCCCTTATGGGGCCACGAAACGTGTGAGGGGTGTGCCGAATGGGTGTGGGTGGCGCATGCGGGCGGGACACTGGGGCCTTCGGATGGGGCCACGAAACGTGTGAGGGGTGTGCCGAATTGGGTGTGGGTGACGCATGCGGGCGGCAGCACTGGGGCCTTCGGTGGGGCTCCCTATGGGGCCACGAAACGTGTGAGGGGTGTGCCGAATTGGGTGTGGGTGACGCATGCGGGCGGCAGCACTGGGGCCTTCGGTGGGGCTCCCTATGGGGACTGGGGCCTTCGGTGGGGCTCCCAATGGGGCCACGAAGCGTGTGAGGGGTGTGCCGAATTGGGTGTGGGTGGCGCATGCGGGCGGCAGCACTGTGGTCTTCGGTGGGGCTCCCTATGGGGGCACGAAGCGTGTGAGGGGTGTGCCGAATTGGGTGTGGGTGACGCATGCGGGCGGCAACACTGGGGCCTTCGGTGGGCTCCCTATGGGGCCACGAAGCGTGTGAGGGGTGTGCCGAATTGGGTGTGGGTGACGCATGCGGGCGGCAACACTGGGGCCTTCGGTGAGGCTCCCTATGGGGCCACGAACCGTGTGAGGGGTGTGCAGAATTGGGTGTGGGTGACGCATGCGGGCGGCAGCACTGAGGCTTCGGTGGGGCCCCCTATGGGCCTATGGGGCCACGGAACGTATGAGGGGTGTGCCGAATTGGGTGTGGGTGACGCATGCGGGCGGCAGCGCTGGGGCCTTCGGTGGGGCTCCCTACGGGGCCACGAAACGTGTGAGGGGTGTGCTGGAGTGGGTGTGGCTGACGCGGAGGGGGAAGAGGAGGGCAGAGGAGGAGGAAGGGAGAACGCGGGGACCGTTTCTTCAAAACGAGGACCCAACACCACAGGATGGTTGTGACAAATCTAAAAATGCTCCAAAAAGATCAGAAAATCTTAGAAAAATAGTCCCAGACTATTGATTTGTTGTACTATGTGTGAAGTATGTTTGGGGTATTCTTTACTTTTCGTCGAAAATCCCCCTGTAGGGGGACAGGCCCGACTTAAGCGTGGCAGAATCTCTGGCGAGCAACAAAAGCCACTTCTCGGCTTCTTTCTGGAACTGGCAAAGGGCGGATTCGGGCATTCGGGGGGATCCTCGAGAAGGCTGTATGCTTGCACCCGAAGGGCCTGGAATCTACCGCATAGACCACCCTTCGGG